CACTGTAATAAAGGTAGGCATTCTTGCACAGAGGAAAACAATTGGACACAATACAGAGATATATTCAGACTTGGATTTGCTGGTGAGACTAGTTCTAGTAATAGCCAGAACTACTACCACTTCACACTCACTCTCTCACATCCTAGCATTCGACAAAATATTTGGGCCTTGTTCACAGACTTGTAGGTTGAAATGATTACAATATATAAAGCTCCTCCATTAGCTAGAGAAAAGGTGAATAAATGTGCCCCCCCCCAAGATGTTTTTGACCTACAACTCCCATTAGCCCTAACATAACTGGTAGTGGGAGATTATTGGAATTGCATTTCAATAACGTCTGAAGAGCTACAATGGCATTCTCCTGAACTAGAGCATTGCAGCTTATTTCAGGTAAAGTCCAAAAATGATGAATCCAACTATCAAGAAGGCTTGATGTATTAGACAACTTTGGAGAAAGGAGTAGTAAGTCACACTAGGGAAGGGAAGGAGTTGAGAAGCTGAAAGAATTTGGGATGGGGCAGCCAGTGATCACCACAATAGTTAGTAAGGAACTGGAAGGGCTTGGTTTATATATGAGGACAGAGATGAGTGGAATGGGATTTTCTAAAGAGTAGGGAAAAGGAAATGAGAAAACCTGCTGAAGAACATCATAACTGTTACAAATGTTAAACTTTCCTCATTGCCTGCTATGTTAAGTTCTGTTATTGTGTGTTACCCGCCTTCAAATCACCTCCAATGTATGGTAGCCCTATCACAGAGTTTTGCTGGCAAGATTTATTCAGAGGAGATTTGCCATTGCCCTCCTTGTGTGATTTTCCCAAAGTCACCTACTTGGTTTCCATGCCTGAAAGGGAATTTGAAACCTGGTCTCCCAAAGTACTAGCCCAACACACAAACCACTACACCACGCTGGCTCTCTGGAAAGTTTTACATAACATCGGGAAAATTCTACACAATATCAATATCCAAAATAGTACAGTAAGCTTCTTAGCTCTCTAAATTTAGCAATGCCACAGCCTATAAAGGAAACAGCATTTAGATTACTTTCTCTCCTTAGCCTCATGGGGTCTCTCCTGATTTCAGCCAACTATATATTAGAGTTTCCTTGGACCGAGGGTGTACCTGCACTACACAATTAGATCATTTTGATACCACATTAACTACCATGGCTCCATGGAATCTCGGGATCTGTAGTGTGTTGAGGTACTTAGACCTTTCTGTGGATAAGTACTGGAACTTTCTTGCATAGAATTCCAAGTATCCCACTGAACTACAAATCTCTGGACTCCGTAAAATGAAAATATGACAGTTAAGGTAGAATCAAAGTGATACGACTGTACTGCAGAACCATGCCAGACACCCTAGAATTGCCATGAATTTCCTGTGCCCATACTACTGAGAGTAGACTGTACTCCAGGGGTAGCCAACCTAAGGCCTGGGGGCCGGATGCGGCCCCCCGAGGCCTTTGGACCGGCCCCAGGCCAGTCCTGCCGCCTCCGCTGCCGCCCCCCGCCATGATGATATTATTGTTGTTATTACTTGTTCTTGGAGTTTTCTTGGCAAAATCTCCACAGGGGTTTTGCCATGGCTTTTCTGGGGCTGAGAGAGTGTGCATGCATATTTTTTTAATTTTAATTTTTTAAAAAAAATATTTATTTATTTATTTATTTTTGGTGCTTTGGCCCCCCAATTGTCTGAGGGACAGCAACCCAGCCCCCAGCTCAAAAAGGTTGCCTACCCCTGCTCTACTCAATAGAGGTTCTGCAGCACTGGAAGCTGTGCAAGCAAACTACACATCCTTTTGGTTGGGGGAGCACACTGGCAGTGCCCTACCCTGGGGTAAGCATTAAAAATGGCAACCCAACCAAGCAGCTTCTTGAAACATTGTCTTGACAAAAGGAAGCTTAAGAAGAACTTGTGTCATCTTGTTTTGTTTCTTTGCACATTGCCTTATTAGAACTGTGAAAGCAGAAACCCCTGGGGTCTTTATGCAGGAGGGAATTCTACACAGATAGAAGAGAGAGCTTTGCTTTCACAATCCACAAGATTTTATCTCACATGCATATATCCTTTGAACCCTGGTTCTAGTGTGCACCTAGTAGAGTATGTTTCTACCAGCAAAATGCCACCCTACAATACATATTATGCACGTGCTATACAGAAAGATTCCTCTTCCTCCTCCCCCCCCCACTCCAAAAAATTAAATAACAAAAGTACTCTTCTAGATAAAGGCTGGCAGTTCGGAAGTTATTAATCAGGATTAAGTTAAATCCAGACTTTTTTTTTTTAAAGGAACTCCGCTGGTTTATATACAAAGGAAGCTTAAAGCAACGATTGTTGCAAAACTATTCAAAGCATGCATTGAATAGATGCAGAACTGAAAAGGGGAAACTGAAACATATTCTCCTATTTTAATATAATCATTTTTTCTTCTATTCAGATGCCAACTTTTTTTTTATTACAAACATAATTTCTCTTCTATAGCTCCTCTATAATAGTCATCTTCCAATGCTTTGCCTTTTTAGACGCAGGTATCTCAATGTATATCTGCATCTAAAATACTGGGAAAGGCAAAGCACTGGAGAAAGGAAAGGGAGCTTTATAGTATCTCAATATATGGCCTAAATACCCTAATACACTAGATCCCATCTGATCTTGGAAGCTAAGCAGGGTCAGCACTGGTTAGTATTTGAAGGAAAGACAGCCAATTACTACCAGGTACTACAGGCTATATTTCAGAGGAAGGAAGTGAGAAAACCACCTCTGGGTATTTCTTGTTTTAGAAAACCCTATGAAAAATTCATGGGAATCGCCATAAGTCAACAGGAAGCATTAAGGCACATGCACACATCTCAATGAATACTTGCATATCCATATATTTTCTGTTCTGATTCTGCTTTAGGTATTTGCCTCCTCGTTTTGGTGCTACAAACATGACAGAGGATTTGAACTCGTGACATCCACTGATAACAGCTTTCTCCACTAGTGAGTTGCAGATCAGGATCCGATGGCTTTCTTTCCCCTAACTTGTCCCTGTCCCTTGCATAATGAAAGGGGGTTGGGAGTGAGGGGTTAAGCATCATGAACCTGGGTGGCCACCCCTACCCTGCTGCCTATTAATTGATGCCTTTCATTCCCTGGTTGCTAAGGGTGTTGTCTGGGGAGGATGTTGTGACCGGAGGGGATGCTCTCTGTGGGACTTGCAGTCATAGTCATGGCATTTGTGATCCGTGTAACATTATTCTTCCACTGATGGGGGAACCTAGGATACTGTCAAATTTGCCTGGTGCAACTTGCCTCCTAACAGTGGCTATCTTAATTGGGTCATAAAATAGATTGCCCATCTATTTTGTGGTAAGAAATAGGGCAATTTGAGAGTGGGAGATGTGTCCAAATCAACATGCAGGACCTTGTAAACAAGTCAAACTATGAAAGGTATATGTCCTGAATTCAAACAGGAGCTCTTCCTGAGCAGGGCTGTAGATCTCTTACTATTGGTTTCATCAACTTAGGGCCTTTGCAGACTGCGAGAAATAGTGCAAATTGAGTCCACTTTAACTGCCTTGACTCAGTGCTAGGGAATCATGGGAACTGCAGTTTATTGTGGCACCAGAGCTCTCTGACAAAGAAGGCTCAATGTCTCAGGAAAAAAAATACAATTCCCATGATTCCCTAGCACTGAGCCAGGGCAGTTAAAGTGGACTCAATTTGCACTATTTCTAGCAGTCTGTAAAGGCCCCTAGTTAGACAATGCAATACCACTGACAGTAGCAAGAATTTCTCAGCAATGCAAACAAAGCACTCAATCTCATTATCTTCCTCTAATCTGAATGCCTACTATTCCTTTTCTTCCTGACTGCTCAAATGGGAACCTGTGAAACTGGCCCTACATACAGTTGCATTAGATTACAATGGGCTACTCTCCTAAATCAGCTTCGTCTTTCTAAAACTCTGATAAAAGTTGTATAGCACCTGGTTGTGATTAAAGGGCAGATGCAAATAAATAAATATCAGGTACTTTCCCATCAATGAAAAGGCTGAAAGCACAAATATAGCTAAATATAATCTGGAAATGAGACACTTTTACAACCACAGTTGGTCCTCTGTATTCACGGATTCTTTATCCACAGATTTAACCAATCACAGTTCAAAAATATTCATTCACACACACACACACACACACACACTCCAAAAAAACAAACCTTGATTTTGCTATTTTAT